GCTAAGTGAAAGAACTCAATATGAAAATGTATGATTCAAGCAATATGACATGCTAGAAAAGGCAAAACTACGAAGACAGTAAAATCTTAGTGGTTGTCCGGGAATGAAGCAGGGGAGAATAGGTACAGCACAGGAGTTTTGGAGCAGTGAAACTATTTCATATGCAACAGTAATGGTAGACACATGACATTATGCCATAGCACTGTATAACACCAAGAGTGAACCCTAATGTAAACTGTGGGCTTTGGATGATAATGACGTGTCAATGTAGGTTCATCCATTGCTTTTTTGTCGTTGTTGCTGTTTTGAGACAAGGGCTCGCTCTGTTGCCCAGGTTGGAGTTGGAGTGCAGTGGTGCAATCTTGGCTCACGGTGACCTCCGCCTCCCAGGTTCAAGCAATTCTCATGTCTCAGCCTCCTGAGTAGCTGGGACTATAGGTGCGCACCACCATACCCAGCTAATTTTTTTTTGTATTTTTAATAGAGACAGCGTTTCGCCATATTGGCCAGGCTGGTCTTGAACTCCTGGCCTCAAGTGATCCGCCTGCCTTGGCCTCCCAATGTGCTGGGATTACAGATGTGAGCCACTGCGCCTGGTCACACTAAAAAATTTATTTAAAAAGATAAAAAAATTCTAGTTATCACTTTCCCTGACACCCACCACCAGCTACAGCCCTATTTCCCTGTATTGCAAAACTCTTCAAAAGATTTGTCCATATTTGCTACCCCAATTCTTCTACTATTCTCACTTCAACCTTTCTAATCCATCTCTCTAGTCCCTATGCCTATGCAAATTGCTTTTACCAGTTGTTATTCTGCATCTTACTTGATTTATCAACAGCTTCTGACACGGGTGACCACTCCTTCCTCCTGAAAATATTTTCTTCCTTTAGCTTCCAGGGTCCTCTCCTCTCCTGGGTTTGCTACTACTTTACTGATCATTGCCCTTAGTCGCTTTTGCTGGTTCCTAATCTTCTCCCTAATCTCTAAACACTGGAGTTCCCTTGGCCTCATTTCATCCCTACTTCATTCTCTCTTTTGCTGATCTCATCCAGTCTCCTGTTTTTAAAAAATATCATCTGAATGCCAAGAGTTCTAAATGAGTCTCATTCTCTAGTTCAAACTTCCCCCTTGAACTCTAGACTGTATATCTAGCTGCGTGTTCAATAATTCTATTTTCCTGGCAACTGACCAGGTAAATTTGACTGATATCAAACTTAACCAAAGCTTATCTCTCACTGTACCCCTAAAACCTGTTCTACTTGTAGTCTCTCCCATCTCAGTTAATAGCAATTTCATTTTTCCAGTTGCTTGAATCAAAATCTCTAGGATCATCTTTGACTCCTTTCTTTCATACCTTCAATTCAGTGCATTTCTCTGTGTCCTCGGGATAACCACCTCTCACTATCTCCACTGCCCTCTCCCTGATCTGAAGAACCCTCATCTCCTGCCTGGCCTATTACAATAGTGGCCTAACTGGTCTCCCTGCTTCTATTCTTACTTGCTACTGTTTATTCTCAGCACAGAACTGAAAATGATCCTTTTCAAATAAAAGTTATATCAAGTCTCTGCTCAAAACCCTGCAGTGGCTCCCCATTCAATTGAGAGTAAAGGCCTTTCAACAGCCTACAAAGCTCTTTGTAACCTGCACTCTCACCCCTACTGCACTCTGACCACACCACCTGCTATTCTTCACTCATGCTCAGCTCCAGCCTCACCAGCCTCCTGTTTCTTTTCCTTATGCCACAGCCTTTCACTAGCTGCTCCCTCAGATGTCCACATGGTTAATGCCCTTACATCTTTCAAGTCTTTGTTTGAACATCATCTTTTCATTGAGGCCAACTCTGACCACCCTAGCTAAAAGTGTAACCCCTAGCTCTAGTGGAACTCTCCATGCTCCTCTTAACCCAACACATTTTTTCCTTGTATTTGTCATCCTCTAATATACTATATAACTTATTTCCTTGTATATTATATGTCTTCCCTACCCACCTCCAAACAATAAGCTCCACTAGGAGAAGGATCTTTGTTTTATTCACTACATGTCCAAATTACCTAGAACATTGCAGCCTCTCAAAAAATATTTGTTAAGGGCCTGGCATAGTGGCTCATGCCTGTTATCCTAGCACTATGGGGCCGAGGTCACACTGTGCTCCTATCTGGGAGACAGAGCAAGACTCCATCTAAAAAGAAAAAAAAACTTTGTTAAGGCTGGGTACTATGGTTCATCCCAGTACTTTGGGAGGCTAAGGTGAACCGATTGCTTGAGCTTAAGACTTTGAAACCAGCTTGGGCAATATGGCAAAATGCGGTCTCTACAAAAAATTACCTGGGTGTGGTGGCAGGTGCCTTGGGAAGCTGAGGTGGGAGGATCGCTTGAGCCCAGGAGGTGGAGGTTACAGTGAGCTGAGATTGTACTCCAGCCTGGTGACAGAGTGAGACTGTCTCAAAAAATTTTGTTGTTATTGTTGTTAAAAAAGAAGTACTATTTCCCATTATG